GAGACAATATGTATCTTGGGGGCAAGATGTCAATATGAAAAAAAGAAACTAAAATTGTTGTGCTTAATGCAAATTAGAGACATTTTAAAAGAGAAATAAGTACCTTGCAAATTATGTGCATACACCCAGCAGAAATCCATAGAAAGATGGAAGTGATACAGGGCCAGAAGATAAGTAAGTTGCATGAGTAGGTGGCACAGACTCCTGTGTCATCCAATACTATGACACTGTTGCCCCTCCCTCCACTTACACTTATGATTGTTTGGAAGGAAGGGCATGGAGAGAGGGGACAAGGGGATGTAATTAAGATAAACTCATTGAAAATAAAAACTGTACTTGGTACACAGATGGGTCAGCTTGGTATATGGTAAAGCCAGAAATGACCCACTGCCCTCTAGCTCCATTCAAAGATGGCCGTAGAAGACAGCAGCGAAAGGAAACTCTCCCAATGGGAAAAGCTTTATTAGTACACTTGGTCATCTACATTGTGTAGAAAGAAAGTAGCCTGAAATAAAAACATAAATGATTCAAGTATGGCTGCTTGGTCATGGACTTAGAAGGGGAAAGAATGGGAAACTAGGAAGAAGCAGGTCTAGGGAATAGTATGTGGTCAGACTTCTGGTGTACCATTCCTCTGGCCACTGGGGTATTGCAGGACTGCTATCCAAAATATATTTTAAAAACCCATCACATAACCGAAACTAGTTTGGCTCAGTGGATAGAGCATCGGCCTGTGGACTGAAGGGTTCCAGGTTCAATTCCCGTCAGAGGCATGTACCTTGGTTGTGGGCACATCCCCTGTGGGGTATGTGTGCAGGAGGTGGATGATCGATGTTTCTCTCTTATTAATGTTTCTAGCTCTATATCCCTCTCCCTTCCTCTCTGTAAAAAAAAAAAAGTCATAAAATATATTTAAAAAAACACACCCATCACATCTCAATTATAAGAAACAACCCAATTTAAAAATGGGCAAAAGTTTGAAAGCAGTTTATCAAAGAGGATACATACATGGCAAACAGTCACATGGAAGATGTTCAAGATCATTAGTTATTAGGAAAATACAGATCAAAGCCACAATGAAGCATTGCCACAATGAGAATAGCTAGAGTTAAAAGACTGAGCACACTCTGCACCTAAAACTAGTACAATGTTACATGTCAATTATATCTCAATTAAAAAAAGAGTGACGCCAAAACCGGTTTGGCTCAGTGGATAGAGGGTCGGCCTGGGGACTGAAAGGTCCCAGGTTCAATTCCAGTCAAGGGCATGTACCTTGGTTGCAGGCACATCCCCAGTAGGGAACGTGCAAGAGGCAGCTGATCGATGTTTCTCTCTCATCGATGCTTCTCTCTATCCCTCTCTCTTCCTCTCTGTAAGAAAAAAATAAATTATATATATATATATATATTAATAAAAAAAAGACTGAGTGCATCAGTGTTGGTGAAGGTAGAGGAACTAAAAGTTTCACACTTCTGGTGAGAATGTACAGTACTTTGGAAAAAACAATTTGGCAGATTTTTATACCTACCATATTTGATCCATCCATTTTATATCTAGTTATTTACCCAAGAGACAAGGAAACGTGTGTGTGTGTGTGTGTGTGTATAAAGATCCATAGTGTTCATAGAAGTGTTCTTTATTTGTAACAACCTGAAACTGGAAATAACTCAAATGACCAACAAAAGTAAAAAATAAATTTTGTATATCAGTACAGTGGAATACTAGTCAGCAGTGAAAATAAATGAACTCTAAAGTTCACTCAACAACATATGCAAATCTCAAATTACGCTCAGTAAACGTAGCCAAACCAAAAAAGGAGAGCATATTGTATGATTCTATTTATCTAAAATTCTACAATAGGTAAATAAACCTATAGTGACAGAAAGCAGATTATGGTTGCCTGGTGACATGGTGGTGGATGGGAGAGTAAAACAGAGGAATTACAAAGAAGCATAAAGAATCTTTTGGGAATGTGCTCATTAATTTACCAAACTTTATACTTTAAATATGTACAGTTTATTATATGTCATCATATTTCAATTAAGCTGTTAAAAGAGAAAAGATTCAATCTCATGTCTAATACCTTGGATCAAAGACCATACGCTGAAAATTCTGTTTCCACTGTAACCCACAAGACAGTGACCTGAGGTAAACCAGTGAACTTAGATTACCTGGAGGTCAGATCAGTGTGGCAGGTTGTTGCAAGTTTTAAGGTAGGAGATACAGGGGTGGTGTTCACTCATTCATTAAAAAAAAATGTGTGAAATCTGTGTGATGTCAAGTTTTATGCTAGGATCTGGAGTTACAGTGTTGAGTCAGATATGAATCCTGCCACTAGGGAAGTCAAGGTCATAAACTAGGTAAATGGAGCTTCTTATGAGACAATCCAGAAGCCTGTGCAAGTCTGATAGGATGAGCCATGAGTGTGGAAGGGTCAGACCCACATCGGAAAGAACTGGGGTTGGGTACTGAGCTGCATTGATATTGGATATTTCTCTGAGGATTCAGGTTCTAGCCATTTGACATCCAAACTTAAGCACTAAGCAAGGGTTGTGGGCAGGGGTAGACTCCCTGACAAAGAGTGGGTAGGGTAAGTAGTTCTAAATATGTCTGTACAGTATGGAGCTTCCTCAAAAAACTGAAAATGGAACTCCCATTTGACCCAGTAATCCCACTCCTAGGAATATATCCCAAGAAGCTAGAAACATCAACCAGAAAGAATATATGCACCCCTATGTTCATAGCAGCACAATTTACAATAGCTAGGATTTAGAAACAGCGTAGGTGCCCATCAGCAGATGATTGGATCCAAAAACTATGGTACATTTACACAATGGAATATTATGCAGCCATAAAAAAGAAAAAATTCTCATCGTTTGCAGCAACCTGGATGGATTGGAGAACATCATGCTGAGTGAAACAAGCCAGTCAATGAAAGAGAGACACCACCTGACCTCACTTATTTATGGATGATAAAGAACATTATAAACTGAAGAACCAAAAGATAGATATAGAGACAGTAAAGCAACAAGCAGACTGTCAAATTACAGCGGGGAGGTTGGGGAGATCTGGGGGAGATAAGAGATCAACTGAAGGACTTGTATACATGCATGTAAGTACAACCAATGGACACAAAACTATGGGGAGGGAGGGTATATATGGGAGGGGGGGCATTGGTATATGTACAAAAATAATAACTTAATAAAAAAATATATATAAAAAATAAAATAAAAAAAAAAAAATAAAAAAAGAATTACCTGTAGATGAGACCAATGTCAATTATTAGGGAAAATTATTAAAACCAATATTATATATTAAAAATAAATAAATAAATATGTCTGTGCAGTGGGTCAAAGAATGAAAGGAAGCATGTATGGAAATGGTCAACTTGAAGAACACTGAGTGGAAAGTCTGTAGTAGAGATAAGATAAAAATAATGTGCTAGGGAACAGTTTTCCATGGAATGGACTAAAATTGGAATTCAAGGGGCTCTTAAAACCCATTTTTTTTTTTCACTCTTCCCTCTACTCCTTGTCATGTAACCTTTACATAATTAATACCTTTATTCCAGAATTATAAGGCTTTTTCCTATTTTTCCCCCTCAGGGGAAAATAATAATGATAAATCCTATGTGTACTTGTTTTAAATGTAATTTATATTTTGATTATAATTCTGCTTGTTTTCTTTGTTTAACTTTTATTTAGAACAAACTTTTTCCACAAGCTATTTCTTATTTAGAGAAGACTTTTCAGGTTCGTAGACCTGCGGGCACTATCTTACTTAGCAGGTATGTCACTTTATTTTTTTTATTTTTTTAATAAGTTTTTATTGTTCATATTATTACAAATGTTCCTTCCCCCCCCCCCCACCATTGCTCTCCTCCACCAGGTTCCCACCCCATTTTGAACAAGTGGAGGTGAGTGGGTGCCGGAAGGGATTGGCACAGATGGGGAGATGAGAAGAATCTTCCGTGGTGTAGTGAGGGGTGGAGCTAGCTAGAGGATGGATGGGAATCCACCTAGGAAGTGGATTCACAGCCAATCAGAGAAATATATTTAAAACAGAAGAAAGAGCCAGTCCTTTCTCACCAGCAGGAACACAGATCACCTTAGAGAAATGGAAATCAAGGGGCTTTTGATGAAGAACCCAGGAAAAGAAGGTGTTCCGGTCAAGGTAGAGATGGATGCCTAAAGGGTGCTGATGGGAGATGCTCACATAATTGTGAGCAAATAGTTGACTGGCATTTTAAGCCACTAAGTTACGAGGGAATTTGCTATGAGGCAAAAGTGAACAGCTACATTCCACTCAGTATCCTTTTGAGTCCAACCCAAGGGAACTCTATGCTGAGCACCCCTTGTTTGTCACTGACCAGCTTTGCAGATCTGCAAGGGGAGGTCAGTGGTTCCTGAGGCTGGGGGAGGATGACATGACATGGAGACAGTGTGACATGAGGAGAGGATGACTTGGGGTAGAGCCAGTGTGACATGAAGGCAAGGGTAGTGTGACACGGGGGAGGGCTCAGTGTGTTAGGTGAGGGGTCCTGTAGTTCACAGAGGAGGGAGATTATTTTTCAGTTGAGGGCTGGCACATGTCAGAGAGGTGGAGATAGCTGTGCTAAGCGAGGACAGGTGAGTAAGCCTACAGGGACCAGGGCCCTGAATTATTACTGGAGTCAGTGGACTAAGGCAGATAGGAGTAGTCAGCGGAGAGTTCTCTTTGCTAATAAAGGAGAGCAAAGCTCTTGTCTTATGATATATCCTTCTGTGGGGAGGGATCAGAACTCTCACCTTGGAGAAACTTCCCAGATTACAATGGGAGGGCAGACACTCCAGAGAGAGATGGTCTGGCTGTTTTTCCTCCCTCTGATGCTGTTCCTCACTTAGTTGAGCACACCGTGCCCCTTTGAGCCTCCTTGTGATTTCTCTCTTTACAAAGCTTCCCGCTGGTCAGGCTGGTTAAGCAGTTTCCTCCCTTCCCAGGTCTTCTCACTGGAAGAGGGTATGGAGACAGCAGATAGGAACCACCTCTTTCTAGTCTTCACCTTTCTGACAGTGACAGGTGAGTGCAGGTTCCTACGTTGGCTTAAAATTCTGAAAGGCCATAGAGAAAAAACCTGGAGGACATGGGTCTAGATCGGGGGTGGAGAGGTCATCCGTTAGAAAGAAAAAGAATTCAGGACTCCAGTGATTGCAGTTTCCTGGAACACTCAGAGCCCACTGACTTTCCTCTGGCTCCCTGGATCCTGGGTACAAGAGAAGATTTGAACTGAAAAGATTTCGTACTATGGATGATAGGTGTTAGCAAAAGAGTGCGATTTTTCTGTATAACTAAGAAGGAAGCTTGAGGAAAAGAGAAGAATCAAGAAGGAAGGGAGGGAAGAAGCAAGGGCACTAATACAGTAGGAACTCAAAGGGAAAATTAACAAGGATTTTGAAGAGGCTTAGTAATACCTTAAGTATAAATAACACATTGACAATTTCAAAGCACGTCCACATAAAATATATCAGCTCTGTCCTCTGGAATGCCTGTCCCTGTCTCTAATATTCTACCTTCCTTTCTTCAATCTGGCAGCAATAACAGCAACAAACGTAACACCAATGCCAGCACAAAAAAAATTAGCTCAGCAATTCCATCAGTTGAGCATCAAAACTGAACCAACCTTTTTTATTTTCCTGAAGTCAGAACATGAGTTTTGTTTGGGAACTCTGATCCACTACCAATGGGCTCTCACTGCAGCCCACTGCTTCTTGCCGTGAGTGATGGGGGTCCTGGAGGGAAAGGACTTCCCCCCTTAGTCACTGGGATTGCTCATGGGTACCGAGGCTTAGCCTATAGAGACGGGCACAGGGGACTCTCAAACCTGAGAAGTGGTGGGAAGGACTCAGTAAGTAGATCCATATGGTTATGAGTTGGATTCTTGAATGGGGTGATGTAGACAGTGGGAATTGGGGAAGCCAAGGACCAAGGGATGATCCAACAGGGATAAAAGCCCACATATAGAATGGTACAAATCAAAGAATATGGAACTGCAATGGAAATTTCTCATTTTCCAGACAAGGGACAGGGGTTTTGGCAAGTGATGGAACTCATGCCAAGTCACAAAGCAAGTTAGGGGGAAATGGGATGCAAGATGAGTAATAGAATAATGTCTCCTTTCTCTACTAATTTTTCATGGCTGTTCCAGATTTCTTGAGATAGATATTGCTGCTTCAAATGATGACGGTTTCTTAAAAATTGGGAGGAACTTAAGAGCCATGCTTACAATCCAACACCCAAATTTCACCCGGGATTCCTCTGAGCATGACCTCATGCTTGTCAAGTTGACACAGCCTCTAACGCCCGATGATGAGGTGAAGCTGGCCGTTCTGCCCAATACCACAGAGGACAGAAGAGAGGACATGTGCACTGTTTCTGGCTGGGGGTGGACATGGAAGAGTTTCGGTGAGTGACCCTCAAGACAGACCTTTAGTGTTCCTTGAGTAAGCAATCAATGAGGATTAAAATAACTTTTATTATAGACTAAAGGCCTGGTGCACAAATTCGTGTACCAGTGGGGTCCCTCAGCCTGGCCTGCAGGATCAGGCCCAAACCAGCTCTCCTACACCCCCCAAGGGGTCCCAGATTGCAAGAGGGCACAGGCCAGGCTGAGCAACCCCACCAGTGTACGATCTGGGTGGGGGCGGGGGGAATGCAGGAGGTTGGCTAGCCAGGGAGGGACTGTGGGAGGACTCCAGGGTGTGTCCAGCCCATCTCACTCAGTCCCTATCTGCCGGACCCCAGCAGCAAGCTAACCTACGGGTTGGAGCGTCTGCCTCCTGGTGGTCAGTGCACATCATAGCAAGTGGTTGAGTGGCCTTAGCATAGCATTAGCATATAATACTTTGATTGGTTGAATGGCTGACAGGTCAACCAGACACTTAGCATATTAGGCTTTTATTATATAGGATCCTAAGAGCTGGATGGAGCCTGAGAACTTGCATATCTTAACCTCTAATTTTATTAATGTGGGAATTGAGGCCCAAATTGTTGACACAATATACTCAGGGTTAACATGGCTATTTATGGCTAGAGGTCTCTGGAATCCAGTGTTCTTGCCTCTTTACACTGAGCCAAACCGGCTAAAGCTCAGGTTCCTTTTCATTTTGGCTTTTTTTTTTTTCTTTCATTGAATAATGGAGAAGTTAATAACAGAAAAGAGGGAAGAGAGGAGAGAAGAAAAGGAGATGAATATGTGAAGGATCAAAGAGAAACAGATTATCTCTCTCTTTCTTTCTCTTTTACTCTCTCCCTCCCCCCTCTCTTTGTGTCTGTGTGCGCATGCGCATGTGCTCAGAGACAGATCCTGATATCGAGGTAAACCAGACTGTCTTTTGGTTCTCTAATGAAAACTGCCAAGAGTCCCCGATAAGGAAATTTCCTGTCAAAATCACAGAGAACATGTTCTGTGCGGGATCCTCTCTGGAGAGCTCACACTCCTGTAAGGTAACTCTTTTCCCTCTGAGACACTGTTTTGGGATCTATATATCGCCTGTAACCCAACCCAATGTCTTGTCTCTACATTCAACAAGAGATAGAGCTAAATGGGGTCCAGGAAGGAATGAGTGTCCTCCTTCCAATCAGGAATGAACTTAGATGCCAGGGTGGGAACATCTCAGAGTATTCTCATTTTTTTATGGCTTCCTCTGATGTGGCCTAGGGAGAGGGGTAGGATGGGTCCCAGGATGGCCACCACACATTTCTCCCAGTCCTTATTACTACACCTGTCTGTTCTGGGCCCTCAGATAGGGACTTCGTACTAGATTATCTTAGTTTTGGCTACTCTGCCTGATCCATCTCTCCTTTTTCTAATAGGAAATAGATGCTGTCCCAATCCTGTGCCAAAACCAGCTCCAAGGGATCCTCTCCTGGGCAGAGGGGTGCATTCTGAGAGGTGATGTTGGCTACTACACCAAGGTTTCCCACTATACAGACTGGATTCTTAGTGTCATCCGTACCAACTGATCTCTCTGGAGTCCCTCTCCCAGTGGCACTGGAACTTGGTCGACCATCCTTGATCCATCCTTCCTTTCCCTCTAACTTCAGAGAACAAGATGGGAATTTGGCTGCAAGAAGTTTTCTGTTCCTTCTGTTCTCTTGACTTCTTTTGTCCATTCTCAGTCACAGCTTGAATGATTATCAGAGAACTTAAGCTGGATAATATTTTCATAAATGGGATAACTTCTCGCTACTCCCTTCCTCTCCTCCAACTTCCTACTTATCTGCTGTGGTTTCCCCAGGCTTTTCTGGAGCTGTTCTCCATTCACCACCCTCCAGAAGGCATATAGGTCTCAGGAATGTGACAGTGAGATTGTGGGCACTTCTATGGTGCCTCCTTTTGTCTGACATCATTAGTGTTTAGTCAGGGTTCTGTCCCTCTCACTCCATCATATCTAGTAAGGCTGCAGTAAATAGGCTGTTAGCAATATAATTATTAAAAATAGAGGATATAATTTTAATAAAGCAACCAGTATAAGTGTTTCAAAAAAGTTAATAATTGAGGGGATGGAGAGAGGAGTTAAATGGGTCAGACTACGAACTGAAAAGGAGGAATGATCTGAGAGATCTTTCTAAATGCTAAGCACAGAAAAATCTAAGATGGCTGAAATAAGATTACTAGAAAAACAACAGGGAAATACTGAAACTTATCCTATATAACAAAGACAGAATATGCAAATTGACCATCACTCTGTGACAAAAATGGAGGCACCCACAGCTAATAAGGAGGGAATAGGCAAATTGACACGACAAAGATGGTGGTGGCCGGGCTAATGCTCTATCCACTGAGCCAAACCAGTTAGGGCATCCTGGGCTTTATTTTTATTTTATTTTTTGTCTCTGCTTACTGGTGTCCCAGGTTGCAAACTTTTTTCTATCACTCAGGCCTGGATATACAGTAGCTCCTCCCCACCCCCATCCACAGTATCGCTTTCCAGTTACTTTTTCAGTTACTTGTAAGATAACCATACTCCTAAAATATTAAATGGAAAATTCTAAAAAATGTATAAATTTTAAATTATGTTTCATTCTGAGTATTGTAATGAAATTTTATGTCATCATGTCCCATCTCCCATGGGACATGAATCATCCCTCTGTCCAGTGTATCCCCACTGTATATGCTACCTGCCCATTTAGTGACTTTTTAGGTTATTAGATTGTTTGTGATGGTATCACAGTGCTTGTGTTCAAGTAACCCTTATTTTATTGTTATAACTAGAGGTAGGATCCCTAGGCCTGGCCAGCGGTCAGGGCCGATCTGGGCCTTTCTTCCCCTGGCTGCCGACTGCCGGCATGGCCTTCCTTTCTTCTTCGCCAGCCCCTGGTGGTCAGTGCACATCATAGCAAGTGGTCAAACTCCTGAGGGGACAGTTTGCACATTAGCCTTTTATTATATAGGATTCTATGTTATTATCAGTGTTGTTAATCTCTTACTATGCCTAACATATAGATGAAACTTGATCATAGGTATGTGTTATAGGAAAGAATATAGTGTACATAGGGGTTGTACTATCCCTGGTTTTAGGTATCCCTGGAGTTCTTGGAACTCATCTCCTGTGGATAAGGGGAACTATAGTATAGAGGTCAAGAAAAACACCCAGGAAACTCACTTCCAGGTCACTCCTCAGTCCCAAGTGAAAACTAGCTGCTTCGCCAAAACTGGTTTGGCTCAGGGGATAGAGCTTCGGCCTGTGGACTGAAGGGTCTCAGGTTCGATTCTGGTCAAGGGTTATGTACCTTGGTTGCAGGCACATCCCTAGTGGGGGGCAGGAGGCAGCTGGTGGATGATTCTCTCTCCTCCATGTTACTAACTCTCTATCCCTCTCTCTTCCTCTCTGTAAAAAACCAAAAACCAAAACCAAACAAACAAAAAAACAACAACTAGCTGCTTCTTCTTTCTTTTTTGCCACTTTTCAAGTCTTCTGGTGAATGACTTGTATACAGTATTTTGTTATTTGTTATTGTTGTTAGCAGGAGGCGTAGAATGGGATGTGCATATTCCATTTTCTCTGGAACAAAAGCCTGTCACACTGTAGTTCCATTAGATTCTAGGAAGAAGGAAGGCAGTGAGGTTAACAGGAAAGACACTGAACTGGAAGTCAGGAAACCTGGGTTCTGTTTCAATTCCATCACTGACCTATGCAGTGGTGTGCTTGAACCCAAAAGAATGTTAGAAGTGAATATTAGAACTTCGATGTACATTTATTTTAACTCATCCTTTTAACATGTCTGTTTTGGTGTATGTTTTACAATGTACACAACAGTTCAGTTCATATATCTATCTATCTATCTATCTATCTATCTATCTATCTATCTATCTTATCTCTGTGTGTGTGTGTGTGTGTGTGTGTGTATGTAAAGAATACATGTATAAATAAATAAGTATACATTGGTGGTGCATGCTCAGAAATGTTGTATAGCCTTGGTGACAACACCACATATCTAAAATTAGACTGCCCCAGATTTTCTAGGACATCTAATTGCCTTAAATATGTCCTATTTGATTTAGGACAACTCCCTTCAACACAAAACAGACTGTAAATATACTCACCAATTAAGATTCTCATATATATCTTTAGTTGAATATATAATTCTTAGCTCAAATAATGCTTCCTACATTCCTTAGAACTTTCATAAGGAAAAATGGTCGGATGAAGGTGAATTATTGCTAGAAAAGTAACTCTTTAAGAATAAAATTACAGCCGGGACTGGTTTGGCTCAATGGATAGAGTGTCGGCTTGGGGACTGAAAGATCCCGGGTTCGATTCTGGTCAAGGGCATGAACCTTGGTTGCGGGCATATCCCCAGTAGGGGGTGTGCAAGAGGCAGCTGATTGATGACTCTCTCTCATCAATGTTTCTCTCTCTCTCTCCCTTCCTCTCTGTACAAAATCAATAAAATATATATTAAAAAAAAAAGAATAAAATTACATATGCCAAAGCCAGTTTGGCTCAGTGGTAGAGCGTAGGTCTGCAGACTGAAAGGTCCCAGGTTCGATTCCAGTCAAGGGCATGTACATTGGTTGTGGGCACATCCCCGGTAGGGGGTGTGCAAGAGGCAACTGGTTGATGTTTCTCATCGACGTTTCTAGCTCTCTATCTCTCTCCCTTCCTCTCTGTAAAAAATTAATAAAAAATATATATATTTAAAAAAAATAAAAAAGAATAAAATTACATAAATAAAATCTAGGTTCATGTTTCTGACATAATATTGTAAAATCAGATGAGCTGAGTTAAAAGAAATAGGTTCTTTCTAGAGTGCATTATATATAGTTAATCTGCTAAGATATATAATCTCATATATATCTTTAGTTGAATATATAATTCTTAGCTCAAATAATGCTTCCTACATTCTTTAGAACTTTCATAAGGAAAAATGGTCGGATGAAGGTGAATTATTGCTAGAAAAGTAACTCTTTAAGAATAAAATTACAGCCGGGACCGGTTTGGCTCAATGGATAGAGCATTGAGTCCCACTAGTCTGATGTCCATCTTTACCTTTATCATAGAGAGGCACATCTGTAACACTCTGAAACTGTTCTGCAGTCCCTTCGATGTGGCCTTCCATTTGTCTTCCCTGACAGTGACACCGAGAAAACTGTAACAGACCCACCTGAGGTTCAGCTGTCATGACTGCCTTGCTAGAGGCTATTTGCCTTAACAACCCTGTAGCTCATTGTAGCCACAGGACTAAGTTTTGCTGATGGGATGTGAGTTGAAGAGCTGTGTACATCTGTATCACTTAACAGATATGCACAGCTCTTGGACTCAACATCCCATCCCATTCTTAAGGGAGCTGTTGGCGTGTGGGAACAGGTTCAAAGAGAAAGGAAATATGTTAGAATTCTAGGGCTGCTCAAAACTGTATAATGCCTTTAATTTTTTACATGTTTTCAATTATAACTCTGATTTTTAGTTTTTGAGTTTCTGTGTATACTGTTATAGAACTCAAATTAACATAAATCAGACCTCCAATGGAATACATGAAATTTTAGAAAAGGGCTTCATAGACCTTGATGAGAAGAGTCATCTGTCATCCTTAAAATTTAACTTGACATTTTACTATTCCATGTTACCAATTTCTAATATGTTTATATTCAAATTACTTATATCCCCTTTTTCACATATTGGCACTAGAAAATGTTCATAATACTAACACACACACTCACATAACACACACACACACACACACCAACATACTGTCCTATGACAGAGTTTTGTTCTGTTTTTATTTTTAAGAAAAAAATGACTGGAAGTTTGTACTTCATAATCCCTTCTCCATTTTCTGCCAAACCCCCACTCCCTGCTGGCAACATTATTTGTTCTCCGTATCTCTGAGTTTGTTTCTGTTTCATTTTGTTTTTTCATTGTTTTGTTTTTTAATTCCATATTTAAGTAAATTCACACAGTATTTGTCTTTCTCCTTCAAACTTATTTTACTGAACATGATACCCTGCAGGTCCGTCTGTATTATTGTAAATGGCAAGAGTTCATACTTTTTTATGATTAGTATTCCGTTGTTTAGATGTACCACCTCTTCTTTATTCACTCACCTATTGATGGACACCAGGTTGCTTTCATATATTGGCTATTATAATCAATGCTTCCAATGAATATAGGAGTACATATATCTTTTTTAATTATTGTTTTTGTTTTCTTTGGATAAATACTCAGAAGTGGAATTGCTGAGTCATATGGTAGTTCTGTTTTTAAGTTTGGGGGAATCTTCATACTGTTTTCCATATGACTGTACTAATTTACAATCCCATCAACAGTGCACAAAGGTTCCCTTTTGTCCACATCCTTGTCAACACTTGTAATGGGTTATCTTTTTTAAAAATATATATTTTATTGATTTTTTACAGAGAGGAGGAGAGAGGGATAGAGAGCTAGAAACGTCGATGAGAGAGAAACATCGACCAGCCGCTTCTTGCACACCCCCCACTGGGGATGTGCCCACAACCAATGTACATGCCCTTGACTGGAATTGAACCTGGGACCTTTCAGTCCGCAGACCGAAGCTCTACCACTGAGCCAAACAGGTTTCGGGGGGTTGTCTTTTTTCATAATAGCCACTCTAACAGTGTGAGGTGATAGCTCATGGTAGTTTTGATTTGCAACTCCCTGATGATTAGTGATGTTGAGCATTTTTTCATTTGTCTGTGGTCATCTGTGTATTTTCTTGGAGAAATGTCTGTTCAGGTCTTCTGCACATTTTTAATTGGATTGTTTGTTTTTTTGTGTGTTATTTTTATGTTGAGCTGTATGTGTTTTTTATATATTCTAGATATTAACCCTTATCAAATATATCATTTATAAATATCTCTTCCTATCTAGTGGATTGATTTTTGTCTTGTTGATGGGTTTCTTTGCTGTGCAAAAACCTTGATATTTGATGTAGTCCCATAGTTTATTTTTGCTTTTTGCCACCTTTTCCATAGAAAAATATCCAAAAAGATATTGCTAAAAGACATGTCAAAGAATTTACTGCCTATGCTTTCTTCTAAGAGTTTCATGGTTTCAGATCCTGCATTTAAATCTTTAATCTATTTTTAGTTTATTTTGTATGTGGTATAAGACAGTGGTCTAGTTTTATACATATTTTTTGTATGTATTTGTCCAGTTTTCCCAACACCATTTATTGAAGATACTGTCTTTTCCTCATTGCATATTCTTACCTCCTTTGTTGTTGATTG